TTTTAGTACTCTGTCCTTCGCTTCCTGCTTGTAAAACCTTATCTTGGAAACAGGAGCTGCCTCTAGCTTCTTGACAAAGCACTGATTCCATTGACAAGGTTCATCTGTGCAGGCTGAACTGGTGTATCCCATACGTACAGCTGCCTCGATCTTAAAGAGAACTGCTGCAACATGAGAGCAGGTCTCCCCCAAGCCTGCCATGCAGTCACAGTGAGCAGCGACAACATGAGCATCAACTGTGACAGCAATCCAAGGGTGATGTGGCTCTTCTGTCACCCGCCAGGAAGGCTTCACGTCAGCCTTGAACAGAATGTTAGAACCAACTTTTTGGTGATACACAGTCTGTACCCATCCTGACATGAAAAATGTGTATGCTTCGAGGGATCTATAATTGTCCATGGCGGCAGAACTAAATACACCTGAAACAAAAGAAAATGAAGAAAGGGAAATAATTTTATTTTTATACATTAACATATCACATCGAGGAGAGTGACAATTGACCAGAGCAAAAACACTGACAAATTGCAAGTAAATGATACAAATGTTTTCATGTCAATCTTCACGTCTTTTAGTATTTCTACTTATACAATGTCTAATAAACTATTTCTCATTAGAAATGTTAAAGTCTTGCTGTTGTCGTTAGACACTACATTCAATAAAATGTAATCTGATGACTGGTTATTGCAAAAAATAACCAGTCATAAAAAGTGTGAATAGAGGGTATGCCATTTTACTTTAAAATTTAAATAGAAATGTAATCTCAAATGAATGGACACATTGAGGGGCAAATCAAAGAATAACAAAATATTACCAATGCCATGCCACCGTTTTCTGTTGCTATGTTATGACATCGCTATGCATAATGGTCGGCAGCTCTACACCGATAAGCAACAATGAAATGCACTAGTTGTGTGGGGAATAAGTGGAATTTCTGCAGTTAGCCTTTTTTGGCTTTTGAAAAAAACTGTGTCCCTCACTTACACTGTACAAGCTGTGCCACTGACAGACTGAGCTCATTACAGCCACATTGTAACAGAATGCTTTTGAATGTCATAACATAGTTAATGTTATCGATGCTTGATGGGTATTTAAATATTACTACAAGTGTAGGACACATGGTATGTACACATGGTGTTCATACCAGGGGACTTGATGAGGTAATTGTATATGTCTGGATACTCGAGCCTGGGCCATGCCTTTGGGTTGTTTTCCCAGGACTCTGCTGGATGCCGATAGGGACAAGATTGTAAACCTACAAGCGACAGCTTTCTGTGGTACCTGGTCAATGCAGGCGCTAGGAGACTGTCAATATACTGATATGACATGCTGCAATAGAAGAAGAAGATCTGTATTCATATAGTGCCTTTCACAGACATGTAGCTAGTCACAAAGCGCTTTACATGAGTGTTTACATTCACTCCATACATGTGGTATATACATCATCATTGACATCAGCTGCAGGCAAGAGAAATAAGATTAAACTAAAACTGGCGATTATAAGTGTAAAACTACAACTGAAAAAGGTGGTCCTGTTGTGGCTTAAGGTGCAAGAACAAGAGGAATGACATTTGCGTTAATAAAATAAGGTTTATCTGATATTTCCAACAACAGTTAGACATTTCTTTATTGTTACTATGACAACAGCTACAATGGAAATAGATAGGAATTTAGATTCCTGCCTCCAGCTAAGCAAGCCCTGAATGTTTACACCACCAACATACATTCGCATACACAGATATCATTCATCAATAATTCAAAGTTGTCCGTTAGTATCCATAACTGACATAATCCACGGCAAAACATATGTAAATAGATACCTTTTGGATTCGCCTTCGGTTTGTTTTACCCTTCAAACATGGCGGCGGTTGGTTGCTACGCAGGTCACATGATTCGTGACGTAAGGCCGACCTCGAGAATGTCCTCAGCGTTGTCAGACCACGTCATTTACGTGTGACGCGTAACTAGTACTGGTGCGGTGCATGGATTTATTATAATACCAGAGCAAGTTCAGCACAGCACGAGTATTTTTTGGTAAAATGCTTATGTCTTAAAAGAATGACTCAGACACTGTGAATTCAATGGTGCTGACTGCGCTGTACAATCTGAATGGGACATACCTGTAGCAACAGCAGCCTGTGTAGCAGAGGAGGAGGGCTGCATGTCCGAGGATACTGCTAGGCTATAGCTAATGCTAGCGCTAGCTCGAGACTCTGCTCACTCACTAACCCTGGATTCCAAAGCTACTACAATACTACACTTAATACATCTATCACTGCCCTCAGAGGAGGATCCTGGGTTTAAACTCGTCATATGGAAACTCGAGCAGTAAAGGACCGAGGGAGAGACAGCGGCAGCCATGGGGGTAGCGAGTTAGCAGTGTTGCCAACTTAGCGACTTTGTCGCTAGATTTAGCGACTTTTCAGACCCCTATAGCGACTTTTTTTCAAAAAAGCGACTAGCGACAAATCTAGCGACTTTTTCTGGTGTTATTGGCGACTTATCTGGTGTTTTGGCGACTTATCTGGTGTTTTGGAGACTCGTGAAGCACGTATTGTTCTGCTGTCCTCAACGTGAGCCCCTCCCCCGTCCCAAAGCACTTACAGGCGGCCAGTCTCACAGTAGCCTTGCGCAGCAGTCCCAGCTACAGTCTATGGGCGGAGCAGAGAGAGAGAGAGGAGACTCAAAAGCACAGGAAGTTTTCAGGCTGCTGCAGACTGAACTTCAGCTCCACCACCACCACACATCCAAAGCTCCCCGGCCACTCCTACCACCGCCACCCCCCACTACCCCCCACTCCAACCGCGGCAGCGCTGTCCGTGACTCTGTTTTCTCTCAGTAGTGGGTCACATTAAATCATTTGTTATGCCAAACTATGAAAAAAAAAAAAAACTTACAAAAATAAACCTAAGTAACTCTGCCAGAGTGTGTCTTTTGGGTCACTTTGCCGGTCCCAAGCCCGGATAAAGGAGGAGGGTTGGTTGTAGAGCTAGCAATTTCACCCTACATAACAATCTTTTGATTACATTTGCTGTTATAACATTTAACAATACAGGACAAAACTGATGTGTGTAATGTGGATCTAGACAAAACATTAAAATCATTAAATGTTGTTAATGTTGAAATTATTTTTGTACATTTGTAGTTCTAAACATATTTAGGGTGTTTTTACTCACTTTTGTCTCTCCCACGACCTTATTCCTCTCTCCTACAGCCATAGGCGCCGATACCGTGGGTGCTGCGGGGCTGGAGCACCCAGTCAAATAGTTGAGCACCCAGGAAAATTTGTCCTGAAGTAATAAAACCAAAAACAAAAAACCGCGACCAGTAATATAATAATAATTGAATCTAGCACATAAATAATATCAAAAATATAATTTGCCTTCAACATACACGATGGAATCTTGTTGCCAGGCAAAACCCCTCTGTCCTTGATTTGATTTGTCAACATTAAATTATGTGACGTATCTACGTTACTTTGGCCAAAACAAACGCAAACGTTTACCGCCAAAAACAGAAAGCTAGCAAAACGACGCAGGAGAACAATGGACCGATTTGTAATAAGACAGAAACATGCATCAGATGATTCCATCAATGAGGAGAATATTTCCATACATGAGACAGCATCTACCAACGAGGAAACACAGGACAATGCCGCTAAAGGACAGAAAGGCCGAACCTTCCAACAAACATGGAAAGCTAAGTTTCCCTGGATAGCGTATGATGCTATAAAAGATAAAGTTTTCTGTGAAGTGTGTACCTCGGCTAAAGAAATGAATGCGCCTCTCCCACAAGCAGTGCATGATAAAGAGTCAATGAAAAGTTTTGTGCAATGTGGTTTTTCAAGTTGGAGCAAGGCTATTGAACGATTTAAATGTCATGAAAAATCCACTCTTCATCGAGCCGCTATCACTGTAGGTGGAGCAGTAAAGGCCAAAGTTAATATTACATCTGCACTTTCTGCTGCCAAACAAAAGCAGATGGTGGACGCTAGAAAAGCTTTGATTGCTGTTTTATCATCTATCCAATATCTTCTGTGTCAAGGCCTGGCTATAAGGGGGAAAACAGATGATGATTCCAATATTATGCAGCTTTTAAACCTGCGTGCACAAGATAATCCAGAACTGAGGTCGTGGTTGGCTCAAAAAGAAAGCAAATGGCTGTCGCATGAAATTCTGAATGAAATGATAGAAATAATGTCTCATGGCGTGCTGAGAACACTTCTCAAGGAAGTAAAAGATGCTGATTTTTTTGCTGTCATGTTGGATGAGACTGCGGACATCACTGTTAAGAAACAAGTGTCAATCTGCCTCCGCTTTGTGACTGATGAGCTGCAGCCAGAGGAGATTTTTGTTGGATTTTATGAAACAGCCTCCACCACAGCAGAAGCGCTTTTTCAGCGTCTCCAAGACGCTCTTATAAGATTTTCCCTGCCTCTCAACAAGTGTAGAGGCCAGTGTTATGACGGTGCCTCAAATGTCTCTGGGATCAGAAATGGTCTACAGGCCCGCGTGCAGACCATTGAACCTCGAGCTCAATATACGCATTGCACTGCTCATGTCTTAAATCTTGTGGCGCACGATGTGACTGAGAACAACTTGTCTTGTCGCAACTTCATGTCACTTATTAGGGATCTAGTTACACTCATCAGGCAGTCACCAAAGCGGCTTTTTTGGTTTCAGCAGATTCAGACCAAAGACAGCCCAGCTTTGAGGCCTCTGTGCCCAACGCGCTGGACAATGACTACGGCCTCACTGCGGTCAATTGCAGACAACTACAGTGCGCTCTTACTTTTTCTGGAAGACTTGGCTCAAAATGACCGAGGGGACGCTGGAGGAAAAGCCAACGGATTGCTTTTAAACCTTCAGAAGTTTGGTACATTCTTTTCATTAAACTTGATGCTGAAATTCTTCTCTCGAATTGAAACGGTATCAGTTGCACTCCAAAAGAGGCAATTGCATATGCAGAAAGCAATGCAGATAATAGACACACTCCGAGATGACATGAAATCTTTTCGCCAAGAAGCATCATTTACTACACTGTGGCAAAGCGTGGTTGGTGAGGCAAGTGATCTTCATCTTGAGAGCCCGTCTGTGCCCAGGCCTCGTAAACGTCCCTGCCGCCTGGAGGATGGAGGTGCCCCGCAGCACGCATTTAAAACTCCCGAGGACGTCTACAGACAGCTGTACTATGATGTTATTGACACAGCAGTCACCTCATTGGACACTCGATTTAGTCCGTCCGTGTTTGATTACATGAAGAAAGTGGAAGATTTTCTCACTGGAAAGAAGAGCTGTGAAAGCATCATTGAGTTCCACGGAGATGATTTGGATGAGACGAGGTTAACGTTGCATCGTGACATGTGTATGGATTTGGCCAAACAAAAAGGAGTGAGCCTTGATACATTTGACGACGTTGTTAACTTTCTAAGACGTGATGGCGAATACTTAAGAGACATGTTACCAGAGATAGCTAAACTGGTAAAACTTGCACTGACTGTCCCAGTAACTTCATGCACGTCAGAGAGATCATTTTCAAGTCTGCGGAGGCTAAAATCATACCTACGGTCAACAATGGGACACGCCAGGCTGAACCACGTAACATTACTTAATTGCCATAAAACCACATCACGGCAACAGAGTTTGGATGATATCGCCGATGAATTCATCAAGCGCACATCGGCGAGAAAAGGCACATTCCTCCTACTATGACATGACAGCAATGGTGAGTTGTGCATCAGTGTATGTGTATTCTGTGTAGCCTGATGTATAAAGAAAATCCCCATCTATGCGATGTTAAACGTAACTAGTAGCTTGCGATTCTGTTTAGGGAAATGATGTGATGTGCGTGTCACGTGACCATGCAGCTGACAGAGCACCCGCTCGGGAAAAGATAAATCGGCGCCTATGCCTACAGCGTCCGTTACAGTTATTTGCAAATGGCAAATTATGCAAATTAGGCGATGACGTCATTTAGCGACTTCTAGCGACTTTTGGGACAGCCAATAGCTACTTTCCTTACTGAGGAGTTGGCAACACTGCGAGTTAGCGGCTAAGCTAGGCTAAGCTAGTCCGGACTCGGGTCCGGACTACAGCAGACTCCGAGACCAGACAAACAATCGATACCCAAACCTCAGCTACAATAATAATAAATGAAACACAGTCTTGGGATACAATCACAGATTTATTGAAAACAAAAGTAAAGTGCAAAACCAACAGTTTACAAAGTCTAAAGTACGTATGTCAGAGACCAGGTCCAGACCAGGTCCAGACCAGGTCCAGACCAGGTCCAGACCAGGTCCAGATGAGAATACTGCGGTCACTCATTACTCGTTGGTAATCTCCACACTTATGGGAAGGGATTCTCATACAAATATACACACAACAACTTAAATACAAGCACAAAACAGAATGACAACACATGAATACTGCAGATAATACGAGATAAAACACAGTAGCACAGGGAGGACGTCAGCTTAGCTGCTATCGATAGCTAAATGAAGCTAAATGTAGCTAGCTCACTGTGTACAACAGACAATCGAACAATTACACAGTAAATACATTTCAGTGAGAGCTTTAGGGGGTTCGTAGCAGTTATTTCCAGGATTACCACAGACTAGTCACAAATCCAGAGCCATCTCCTGAAAACTGTGTTGAGCCTCGAGCTGCTTTTGAATTCTTTCTTTGGCCTGAAGAGAGGAACGTGTGGACCTCATCCACCGACCAGGACCAGGACTTTTGGGGCTTTCTGTGCAATTCCATTTCTCTGGAGTGAGGAGGACGTAATGTAGCCGAAGCAGAGCCGAGCAGAGCAGCCGGTTTTAAAGATGGCGGTTGAGTTGTTTTTCCCAAAGGGTCAGATGTCGCTTCCAGTGACGACACTCGTTGATCAGTGTAAGGCAGTGGGCCGACGTGACGTCATGGCACGGGTACTATGGGGATGGAACCACGGCTGAGGCAGTACAGAAAAGTACTCAAATCTCCCATTCCATCCACTAGTGGAAAAGCAAAATAGGTGCGCCGTACCGTACCGAAATGAACTGAACCGACACTGTGGAAAAACGGCATAACAGGAGTCCAGTCCCTGTGCTCCTCAGAGTCCGGGCTGGTTCGTATGGTACTAACATGTCACTAATATATTTTGGTGCGAGGCCATGGAGAGACTTGTACACAAGCAGAGCTGTTTTAAAGTCTATTCTCTGAGCCACAGGAAGCCAGTGCAGAGACCTGAGAACTGGACTAATGTGGTCGTACTTCCTGGTTCTAGTCAGGACTCGAGCTGCTGCATTTTGAATGTACTGCAGCTGTTTTACAGCCTGTTTGGACAGACCTGTGAGCAGGCCATTGCAGTAGTCTAAGGCCCTGTTTATACTGAGACGCTGCGCAGACGTTTCCAGGCTATTAACAGAAACGACCTGGCTCCTAATGCAAATTTCTCTGCGTTCACATGAGGTTGAAAAACGATGTAGTTCTAGCGCCCGGCCAGTAGTGGGCAGAGAAACTTTACAACACTCACACGACCCCCCAGCCCCGTGCCCAGCCCCCCTCTCGGCAGTGTACTCACTTCCTGTGCCAGACCCTCAGAGAGCACCAACATCATTTTGCCTTTTAACAGCAGCTGTGAAAATGGGAACTGAACCTAGAGCTTCGCGTGGTCTCGTTTGGACGAACGAAGGAGTAGAATTATCCTCTGGGCCGCGCTGGAAGCCCACGTAGCTAGTTAGTGTGCGCTGCGCCATTATTGTTTTTGTTTGTTCTCCGCTACTGCGCAAGTCCAAATTTACGTGCGGGGAGCAGCCATGGATGTATTATATTAACTGGATAGGGTATTACTAGCTTGTAGCTGAATAACTCACGTGCTCAGGGGATTCTCGCGGTACTGCAGACTGAACCAGACTAAATTCACGTGGGCTACCCAGAAATTTTCCCCATAGAACTCAATGCATATTAAAACAGCTCAACCTCAGCTGACAGAGAACCTACAGCTTTCATAAAGGTCGGATTTTGTGGGGATTTTAGTGTCCCTTGTCATCCTGAACTTTTTTTCTTCTTAAATCCTTTGGTTTTGTTTAAATCCACACTTTAGTGCCACAAACTCTGCTCCTCTGGCTCTCGCTCTAACTCCCGCTCTGATGAACTGCTCTGATTGGTCAGAGCGCGGCCGAGCCCCTCTGTGCACGTGCGTGAGACCCGGTGTGAGACCCACACACGCGTGTTTGGCGCAACGCATTATGGGAGATCATCCACTGCGCAGAACCGGGAGGACCAGACGATGCCCAAATACAGGCGAGTTTCCCATAGATCTTTGCGAGTTTCAGGCAACTTCCGCTAGTCTTTCAGCCCCCATGCCGTCACAAAGCGCCACTGAGCACAACCATTCATTTGAATAGGGCGCCATCTTGGATCGCCGGGGCTTGGGAGCAGCGCGGAGGTGGGGGTCAGAGCAGAGGGGGATTTCACACCTTTCCCCTCTCGCGGGTGTGAAAGAGAGTAGAGCCCTGCACTTGAGCCCTTGGCCCGAGGGCCCCGACGGCCCGACAGCCCGAGGGCCGGGCTTCGGGCTCTTCATTTTCAGAGCGGCAGAATAGATTTACGAGCGCACCCACTGAATATAGCATTCTATCACGCTGTAGTGTTTGTTGTTCTGTGTAGTGTTGTCATTGACGGCACATAGCGTTACTTACAGGTGTGTTGCAGCATCTGGGCATCATACAGATGCGGCCGTTCACTCTGCACCACTTCGCACACACAGAACTCATTGCAACACATCACTACCATGTATAACTCCGCCCTCTAGCTAAGTCTGCGTTCATATCAGTGCGCGGCACTATATACTACGCTAAAACATTGTTATGGGAGGTTACAAAAAAAAAAAAAGGCGGGCTTGATGCGGGTTTCGGGCCTGAAAATTCAGAAACCATATCGGGCCGGGCCGGGCTGGGGCGCCACCCCCTCGGGCCAGGGCCGGGCTCGGGCCCAGATAATAGGCCCGTGCAGGGCTCTAAAAGAGAGCCCCCGCTGTGCAGCGTTTCTGAGTTGTCCCACTCTGCAGGCTGGATCTGAACACTTACGTTTTCACCCCCCTGGAACACAGTCTCCGTATGAACGGTTGGTAGCAACCGACATCCAACTATACCGTTTTACTGCCACATTGTCTCCGTGTAAACTCAGCCTAACCTACTGGAGACAAATTTATGGATAAGAATCTCCAAGTCTGCTTTAGACACTATGGCCCTGTTTATACTGAGACGCTGCGCAGACGTTTCCAGGCTATTAACAGAAACGACCTGGCTCCTAATGCAAATTTCTCAGCGTTCACATGAGGTTGAAAAACGATGTAGTTCTAGCGCCCGGCCAGTAGTGGGCAGAGAAACTTTACAACACGACACACGACCCCGAGCCCCGTGCCCAGCCCCCCTCTCGGCAGTATACTCACTTCCTGTGCCAGACACTCAGAATGCACCAGCATCATTCTGCCTTTTAACAGCAGCTGTGAAAATGGAAACTGAACCTAGAGCTTCGCGTAGTCTCGTTTGGACGAACGAAGGAGTAGAATTATCCTCTGTGCTGTGCTCGAAGCCCACGTAGCTAGTTTGTGTGGGCAGCGCCATTGTTGTTGATGTTTGTTCTCCGCTACTGCGCATGTCCAAATTTACGTGCGGGGAGCAGCGCTGAGGCGGGGGTCAGAGCAGAGGGGGATTTCACACCTATTCCCCTCTCGCGGGTGTGAAAAAGCTCCCTGCTGTGCAGCGTTTCTGAGTTGTCCCACTCTGCAGGCTGGATCTGAACACTTACGTTTTCACCCCCCTGAAACACAGTCTTCGTATGAACGGTTGGTAGAAACCGACATCCAACTATACCGTTTTACTGCCACATTGTCTCCGTGTAAACTCAGCCTATGTTTTTGATCCTGGCGATGTTTTTTAGATGGTAAAAAGCTGCTGATGTTACTGATTTGATTTGGCTATTAAAATTTAAGTCTGAGTCCAGTATTACCCCTAGATTTCTGACCTTGTTTGAGAAAGTAGAGAATAGAATAAGGCATAATGAGACATTACTAAAGTATAACATTTTCTAAAATATAAAAACGAAAAAGTGAAATTATTACAATTATTACAATATACAAGTACATTCGGTGCACACAATATACAATATACATACTGCAGTGCAGTCAGGTGACGACTGTAAAGTGACGTCATAAAGGGCAGTAAAGTGACTTTATAAAGGGCAGTAAAGTTACTTTATAAAGGGCAGTCAAGTGACTTTATAAAGGGCAGTCAAGTGACTTTATAAAGGGCAGTAAAGTTACTTTATAAAGGGCAGTAAAGTGACTTTTTAAAGGGCAGCAAAGTGACTTTATAAAGGGCAGTAAAGTGACTTTATAAAGGGCG